AAAAAATTCAATAAAACATTAAACACGATACAAAATATATAAAAGTAAAAATGTCATCATCCGATGAGCATTCTAAATGCAAAACAAAAAAAGTTCAATGTCATTGTCCAAAATGTAAAGGGAAATTTGTAGATCAAAGAACACAACAAGAGCATATCAGCCTAGCCGATATTGGTAAATCTACAAAAACTGAAATGCAATCACATTCAACTAAATGCAAACATGAAGAAGAACCTCTTTCTAAATTCCAAAAACATAGTTCAGAAAGTGAAGATTCTGGAAACATATATTTGAATAGCGATGTTTCTGAAAATGATGAAGATGAGGAAGAACTGCTACCAGTATTCCAACTGAAAATTGAAGGTTCCAGAACTGAATATTCAAATAACAATAGTTTTGAAAATAATGAAAGCAATAATTCAGAAAATGAAGAAGATAGTACAACTAGTGACGAAAATGAAGAAGATAGTACAACCAGTGAAAAGGATGAAGAAGGTAGCTCTGATATGGAAGACGATATAATAAGTTTATATCTAGAAGATGACTTTGATGGAAAATTATTAATTTCTAGAAAATTATCTAAAGGAAAATTTAAAGATGTATTACCAGCTGAAGAAGATGATATAAATCTTGACCAACCTTTAGAAATTTCACAACTATATGATGTATATCAGGAATCTGATAATAATGAATCTATGATAATTGAAGATGAAGTACCAGATGAGCCAGATGATTTGCCTTCTTCAAGCGATTCTTCGAATGATTTAAGTGATTCGGGTAAATCTTCAATAGATTCACAAGAACATAAATCTATTAATTTTATTCCACCAGAAATCGATCCTAAAGTTTTTGATCCACTGTTCAATTTTGAAGATAATTCGAATGATTGGATAATCTTATAGGTAATAAAATATCAGCAAAGATTCAACATACTCGATACGGGTATAGAAGTCTTAACAAAGTTTATTCATTCTTTACTCAAATATTTCAAAATAAATGAAGCAGATATGTTACCAGCTTCTATGCATACTGTAAAATCATCATTAGGTATCTTAACTAAATATAAAAAATATGTTTCATGCCCAAAGTATCATAAACTCTATCCCTTAAATTGTAACACAGGCAAATTTGCCTGTGTTTTTATTAAAAAGTTTAATTTTTTTAATAAAAACTT